TGGACCCCAATTTGATGCGTGGCAACTCTATATTGGAAATCTTAATTTGAGTATAAACAATCATGTGATGTGAAATTTTCTTTCTTTTCTTTTTTCTTTTTTTGGGAAAATAGGCAATATATGGTGATATGTAACTTTCAATAACACGTATTAAGGGAATTATTCTTTCTTTTATTATTTACTTTTGTAATTGTTTTTTTTTTTTTTTTAACAGGTTTTACACGGGCTGGGTCGAACCCAGCCCAGGGGAGGGGGAGTGCACCATAGAGTGGCTATTGCCATTTGGCCCGAAGGGCTCGGTGCTACTTTTGTAATTGTTGACAATGTGATTGATTATAATTTTCATTTATTTTAAATTTTTAATAGAATATTTTAAATTTTTAACAATTAAGGTAATTTTTAAAAGAAAAATAACTACTAATAAAAGATGTTTCTAGCTTCTTCTTCTTTTTTTTTTTTTTTTTTATGTTAGTTGCACATCGCACATCTTCCCTCGTCTCTTATTACATCCCACTCGTATACCATGCAACTCAAACTCAAAATCTCTTATTTTTAGTGGAAAAAAACTATCACTGAATTATTTAGATCATTAACTATATTTTTAGCTTTAAATCTTAATAATATATATAATATTAAAATATTTAACTTTTTATAGAAATGAGATTAGTTAGATCACAAAATTTATAAATATAAGAATATTTTTATATTAAATCTATGATTTTAAATTGTTTTTGAGATGACCCTAACAATTCTTATATTAATAAGTTTTAGAAATCTGTAAAAAAACCAAATTTTAAATTATTTATAATAATTAATTTTATATTTACATATCATTCTTATTCACATTTTTATTTTAAATTCTCAATGTAAAATTTAAAATATCACAATTATCAATTCAACATCAACATGCATACCTACTAATCTATGTCATAGTAGTATTAAATAAAATTCATTTATCTAGCTAGGAATTACTACTTCATAATGGTTAGGATAAGTGGGGGAAGAAATGGAGAAGAGATAAGGTTGGAAATTAAGAACGCCAGTGTTTGAATTTGAAAAAAAGGAAGTGGACGCGCTGCAGGCATTGAATGACGAGTCATACAATACAAAGGTCAGCTGAGCATTGAACATAGCTCAGCCTTTTCTCATTTCTTTCAATATTTCTTGTGTTTTCTTTACCGTTCTGTTCTGTTCTGTTCCATTGTTCATCTTCGAGTGCGGTAATTTTTGTTTTCCTTTCTTTTAATTCCTCTGTCTTCGATCGTTTGTGTGAAGGGAAATTTTTTTTCCCTCTGATGAGGCTTTGTGCTGTTTCTTTGCTTTACTACTCTTCCTTCGATTCCTTCAGTGGGATGGTTTCGGTTTGGCTAAACTTTTGCAGCTGTGATTGCTTAATTCCTGCACCATTTTCTGCTATGTTCCTTACAGCTCCGTTTTTTTTTTTTTCATTTTTCTAATTTCTTTAGTACCCTTTTCATGTAGTTAAATTGTATTAGATTATATAATATAAATTATTTAATAACAAATGAGTACTTGATATTGAGAGTTTTTATCATTTAATTATATATTTATTTTATAATTTAATACAATTCAAATTATAAATTAAAAAATTTATACACATAATATGAACTCAATTACAACGTTGGTATATGACGTATAAGATACATGGAATGTAGAAGAGGGGTTTTCAATGCCTATGACCGGGAGAGATTTAATTGTAAATTGCCAACATCATGCTTCAATTTATTAAAAAAATTATTTTATAATTTAAATTATATTAAATTATAAAATATTAACTATTAAATTAAGAGATATACCATGATTAATGTTTTAAAATTCCCAGCACACGTTGAAGAGATGCACAAGCTAAAGCACACCTGGTGACATCTCAACAGTTATCAAAAATTTTTTTTTTATTTTTGTTGTACAATACGAGTCAATCGTCTCTTATTCTTTACCTCGTTATATTTGTATGTCATACGATTTGAATTCATAATTTTTTATTTTTAGCAAAAAAAAATGACGACCAAACTATTTAAATAGTTGACAACTGTAATCAAACTAAATATCAAAATTTTGAGATAATTAAAAGTCAAAGAACTTACCCTCACAACAGTTAACTTAAGATAAACTTTTCATAATATATATATATATATGACTAATATTATCCTTAAGAAAAGTAGAAGCTTTGGATAGGATTATTGATGCGATGTAGACATGCTTTTTGCCAAATCCAGCT